TCTTCCATACATTTATTAAATAATTGCACCAACCACTCCAAAACTATATCTCCACCTGCTTTTAACATTTCTATCTTTATCCCATCAATCCCGGCTGCCTTACCCCCTTTCATTTTACCTACTGCCTCACGAACTTTCCCCACACTCGCAACTGGCTCTTCCTCACTCCTACAAGATGTTATTCCTCCTTGCCCTATACACGAAATCACAGCTTCCCTATCTTCATCAACATTTAACAATTCCTCAAAATATTCCCTCCATTTTCCCAATACCTCTAACTCTCCATTTAATAACTCTCCTCTCCTATTTGTAACTGACAAATCCATTTGTTCTCTAGGCTTCCTTAACTTGTTAATCTCACTCCAAAACTTTTTCTTATTTTCAACAAAATTTGTTGATAACATCTCACCCACTCTCTCATTTGCTCTCTTTTTACATTGCTTCACCACTCTCTTAACCTCTCTCTTTTTCTCCATATACTCTTCCCTCCTTGCATCACTTCTGCTTTGTAAAAACTTTTCATATGCTAACTTTTTCTCCCTTACTACTCTCTTTACATCATCATTCCACCAATCGCTCCTCTTCCCTCCCGCACCCACTTTCCTGTAACCACAAACTTCTGCTGAACACTCTAACACTACATTTTTAAACCTACCCATACCTCTTCGACCCCATTGCCTATGCTCTCATTAGCCCATCTATCCTCCAATAGCTGTTTATATCTTACCCTAACTGCCTCCTCTTTTAGTTTATAAACCTTCACCTCTCTCTTCCCTGATGCTTCTATTCTCCTTGTATCCCATCTACCTTTTACTCTCAGTGTAGCTACAACTAGGAAGTGATCTGATATATCTGTGGCCCCTCTATAAACATGTACATCCTGAAGTCTACTCAACAGTCTTTTATCTACCTATACATAATCCAACAAACTACTGTCATTTCGCCCTACATCATATCTTGTATACTTATTTATCCTCTTTTTCTTAAAATATGTATTACCTATAACTAAACTCCTTTCTATACAAAGTTCAATCAAAGGGCTCCCATTATTATTTACACCTGGCACCCCAAACTTACCTACCACACCCTCTCTAAAAGTTTCTCCTACTTTAGCATTCAGGTCCCCTACCACAATTACTCTCTCACTTGGTTCAAAGGCTCCTATACATTCACTTAACATCTCCGAAAATCTCTCTCTCTCTCTCTCTCTCTCTCTCTCTCTCTCTCTCTCTCTCCTCTTCTTTTTTCTTTCTTATTATTTAGGAGAAGGTGTGGAGTTAACCCTTAAACTGTCCAAACGTAGATCTACGTTTTTTCAACATTTGAAAGTATGTAAAAAAAGTAGATTTTTTTTTTTTTTTTACATTTGAAAACATGTAAAAAAGACTTTGATCTACATGTTTTTTTTTATGTATTTGAAAATAAGTAAAAAAAAAGGAAAACTGCTTTTGGAGCACTACGCATGTGAACATAGATCTGCTTGGACAGTTTAAGGGTTAATGAAAGTATTAGTCAGAGAGCTGAAGAGGGGTTATTGAGGTGGTTTGGTCATTTAGAGAGAATGGATCAAAGTAAAATGACATGGAGAGCATATAAATCTGTAGGGGAAGGAAGGCGGGGTAGGGGTCGTCCTCGAAAAGGTTGGAGGGAGGGGGTAAAGGAGGTTTTGTGGGCGAGGGGTTTGGACTTCCAGCAAGCGTGCATGAACATGTTAGATAGGAGTGAATGGAGATGAATGGTATTTGGGACCTGACGAGTTGTTGGAGTGTGAGCAGGGTAATACAGTGGACCCCCGCTTAACGATCACCTCCCAATGCGACCAATTATGTAAGTGTATTTATGTAAGTGCATTTGTACGTGTATGTTTGGGGGTCTGAAATGGACTAATCTACTTCACAATATTCCTTATGGGAACAAATTCGGTCAGTACTGGCACCTGAACATACTTCTGGAATGAAAAAATATCGTTAACCGGGGGTCCACTGTATTTAGTGAAGGGATTCAGGGAAACCGGTTATTTTTATATAGCCACACTAGAGTCCTGGAAATGGGAAGTACAATGCCTGCAATATAAAGGAGGGGTTTGAGATATTGGCAGTTTGGAGGGATATGTTGTGTATCTTTATATATATATATGCCTCTAAACTGTTGTATTCTGAGCACTTCTGCAAAAACAGTGATTATGTGTGAGTGAGGTGAAAGTGTTGAATAATAATGAGAGTATTTTCTTTTTGGGGATTTTCTTTCTTTTTGGGTCACCCTGCTTCAGTGGGAGCCTGCCAACTTGTTAAAAAAAAAATAAAGGGAAAGGCGACAAAAGAGATTGTAAAAATTATAGGGGAATATACCAGGTAAAGTGTATGGTAGGGTTATTATTGAAAGAATTAGAAGTAAGATGGAGAGCAGGATTGCAGATGAGCAAGGAGGCTTTAGAATGAGTAAGGAATGTGTAGGTCAGGTGTTTACATTGAAGCAGATGTTGTAAGTGTATGGAATAGGTAGTAAGTTACTAAATGATGTAAAGAGTTCTTATGAGGATAGTGAGGCTCAGGTTAGGGTGTGTAGGTGAGAGGGAGATTACTTCCCGGTAAAAGTAGGTCTTAGACAGAGATGTGTAATGTCACCATGGTTGTTTAATATATTTATAGATAGGGTAGTAAAAGAAGTAAATGCTAGGGTGTTGGGAGAGGAGTGGGATTAAATTTTGAGGAATCAAGTACGAAATGGGAGTTGACAGTAACTTTTTGCTGATGATACTGTGCTTATGGGAGATTCTAAAGAAAAGTTGCAAAGGTTATTAGATGAGTTTGGGAAGCTGTGTAAAGGTAGAAAGTTGAAAGTGAACATAGATAAGAGTAAGGTGATTAGAGTATCAAATGATTTAAAGAAAAATTGGATATCACATTGGAGAGAGGGAGTATGGAAGAAGTGAATGTTTTCTGATATTTGGGAGTTGACTTGTCAGCAGATGGGTTTATGAAGGATGAGGTTAACCATAGAATTGATGAAGGAAAAAAGGTGAGTGGTGTGTTGAGGTATCTGTAGAGACAAAATTGTTATCTATGGAGGCAAAGAAGGGAATGTATGAAAGTATAGTGGTACCAACACTTTTATGGGTGTGAAGCTTGGGTTGTAAATGCTGCAGTGAGGAGGCGGCTAGAGGCAGTGGAGATGTCCTGTGTAAGGGCAATGTGTGGTGTAAATATTATGCAGAGAATTTGGAGTGTGGAAATTAGGAGGAGGTGTTGAGTTACTAAAAGTGTTAGTCAGAGGGGCTGTTGAGATGGTTTGGTCATTTAGAGAGAATGAAACAAAGTAGAATGAATTTTAGAGCGTATAACTCTATTGGGGAAGGAAAGCGGGGTAGGAGTCGTCCCCAAAAAGGTTGGAGGGAGGTGGTAAAGGAGGTTTTGTGGGTGAGGGACTTGGACTTCCAGCACGCGTGTGTGAGTGTGTTAGGAGTAAATGGAGACAAATGATTTTTGGGACTTGACGAGCTGTTGAAGTGTGAGCAGGGTAATATTTAGTGAAAGGATTCAGGGAAACCGGTTATTGTAGATTTAGCCGGACACGAGTCCTGGAAATGGGAAGTACAAAGGAGGGTTTTGGGATATTGGCAGTTTCGAGGGACTTCTAAACTGTCGTATCTGAGCGCCTCTGCGAAGACAGTGATTATGTATGAGTGAGGTGAAAGTTTTGAATGATGATGAAAGCATTTTTTGGGGGGGGGGATTTTCTTTCTTTTTGGGTCACCCTGCCTTGTTGGAAAAAAAAAAAAAAAAAGGATTAGTCTGAACTATAATCAACAACCTCGCAAAACATTCAGTGGGTAATTTGTTTTAACAAGAACTACTGCATTTTTTAAGGCTGAATTATTACTAACTTCTTGATTTGTTAGTTTTATGTTTAAATTGCTTTAATGTCTTCAGAATTGTATATATTTTGTAACAAAGAATGACTTATGGTAAGCATAATATTCATAGGGTAATATATTTATGTACTGCATAGTGTAATATGTGATAATATTTATTCAGGAAAATAATAATGGAGGAATTTGGGAGGGTATGTAAAGGAAAGAAATCAAAAGTGAACCAAGAGCAAGGTAAAAAGTGTAACAAAAAAAAATCTAGGCAGTGAAAGCTTGGATATCAGATTGGAGGGATGTAATATTGAGGAAATAAAGATGTTCAGTTATTTGGGAGTGAATTTGTTGGTAGATGGGTCTATGAAATATGAGGTGAACCATAGAATAGTTGAGGGGGAAAAAAGATGGGTGGTGCATTGAGGTATTTATGGAGACAAAAACATTTATCCAGGAAGCAAAACAAGGACTATATCAGTGCCAACACTTATGTGGGTGTGAAGCATGGGGTTTAAATTTTTCATCGAGGAGAAGGCTGGAGGCATTGGAGAGTTTGTTTGAGGGCAGTGTGTGGTGTGAATATTATGCTGACAATTTGGTGTTTGGAGATGTGAAGGTGTGAGGTTGCCAAAGGTATTATCAGAGGGCTGAGAAGGGATGTTAAGGTAGTTTGGACATTTAGAGAGGATGGAGCTAAACAAGATGACTAGGAGGGTGTAACAATCTGGGTTAGAAGGAAGAGGGGTGGGGTAGGAGTCATTTTAGGAAAGGTTGGAGGATGAAGCTAACAGAAGTTTTGAGTGCTAGGGTCTTGGACATCCTCCAGGTTTTTGTGAGCATGTTAAATAGCAGTGGGTGGAGGCAAGTGGTTTTTATGACTAGATGTGTTGTTGGAGTGTGAGAAGAGAAACTGGATAGCTGGACATGAGTCCTGGAGGTAGGAGGTACAGTGAATGAGAGGAGGGGATGTTGCAGTTTATAGGAGTATCTGAACTGTGATATCAGCATGACATCGCCTATTGGCCGTCTCCCACTTCAGTGGGAGATGGCCAGTGTGTCAACAAAAAAAATTTAATATGTTTTTTAGGGGGAATTATGTAGTGAGGTAATATCTAACATTATTCATAACTGCTTTCAGAAACAAGACTTTGATGTTTGCATTTTTAAACGTTGAGAGAGTGTCAGCGATGGAATGGTACAAGCGTATATTAGTCCTTGGGCTTCCTGAACCTCGGGACCTCAACATCAACCCCAAGAATACCCTTGGCACGGTTATAGCGCTAAATGGTCATAGGAAATACTACTGTCTGTTCCATGCCAAACATCCTGAGACTGTATTTGGGGTAAGCCTCTCTTGATAAGTGATTGGGGGAAAGGATGGGTACCAGTTTCTAAAAGGAAAGATTCTGGCTGTCCATACAGCATTACAGGATCACTTTTGAAAAGTCGTAAAGCAAATAAGAAGGCGAGTGTCACGCTTTCCTGTGTCAAGGTTCAATGTAATAATATTGTAAAAACTAGAGATGCATATTGTGAATATGTATATTAGTACAATCTATAACTCAGAACACTCCTGGAATACAATAGAGATTTCTACACAGGAGCATCATAAATTTTAGTGACAGTTTTGGAAAATGAATCATAAAAAAAACAAAAAAAATGAAACCAGCATCACCTAATCCTTGTTAGGTATTTCAATATTAACCTCAGTCAAGCAGATCATGTGTAAATGTGTTGACTGCATAGATACAAGTATAATACATGTAAGTGTAGGTGTTGGTCACATCAGTGAATGGTGAATGAATTTGTTTTGTGGCATAGTGGTCACTCAGTACTTGAAGCAAAACTATATACCTTTACACTTGGTTAGTCTCTCTCCCATGGGTTATTATATGACTCGAGTGTCCTAGAAATTTCTTAATATTTCATTAATACGGTCTTCCTGTGACAATCTTTTGTCGATGATGACTCCTAGGTCCCTTTCTATATCTGCTGCTTTCAATATTTATCACATATTTTTAATGTAGCCTGTTCTGGCATCCTGTTTCCATTACATGGCACTTATCTATATTAAATTCTACAATACAATCAGTCCACTTGCTAAATCTGACTTAAGTTAGATCTTGCAAGGGTTTACAGTCATATTTAGTGCTTACTTTACCTAGGCTCTCTGCATCAAGAGGCTGGTTTATGTATTTTTTTTTTTATCCCTTCTGCTCAGTCATTTGTATAAATTCTTTCTTTCAACACACCGGCCGTATCCCACCAAGGTGGGGTGGCCCAAAAGGAAAAACGAAAGTTTCTCCTTTTACATTTAGTAATATATACAGGAGAAGGGGTTACTAGCCCCTTGCTCCCGATTTGTATAAATTATTAACATTTAATTAACAAGCTCTGAACCTTGCAACACTGTAAGGCTTGGTGAAGAAACTATTGCAAACTTTGTAAAGAATTATAATTAAGGATTTACAGCAATTTTTTTTTATGCACCGGCTGTCTCCCACCAAGGCAGGGTGACTTGAAAAAAAATACGAAAGTTTTTCTTTTCACATTTAGTAATTTATACAGGAGAAGGGGTAACTAGCTCCTTGCTCCTGGCATTTTAGTTATTTCTTATGACACACATGGTTTAAATAGGAAGGATTCTTTTCCACTCTCCACGGAGATTGTAGCTAATTATAATTACATAATTATTTACATCAAAGCTTCAGTATTTGGTACAGTTACGTTTCTGGCAACCCTGAGTATATGGAAATGCCTCTTGAGCACTTGAAGGGGTTATTTTTTATTACTGTATGAACTTCTAAAAAAACAAAAACTACATTCTTTAAGGTTTGGTAAAACAGTAACAGAATTAAACCTACACTTCAGTCATAAATCATATACATTTATCACCCAGTCAAATATGGGAGTAAATTAATATAAGGTCTCACGGTAATTATATATATAGCTCTGTTGTGTACTGCAAGAACTTGTAACTTGAAAAATTTATTTGACAAACTAAAGACTGATGATTGGATACCATGAGTGTAGTTCTGCTCTTGTAACTACAAAGAGATAAAAATGGCTACTCTTTGCTAATGACACACTACTTTTGAGATTTTTAAAAGAAATATTACAGTTTGGTGGAGGAGTTTAGGAGGGCATGTAAAAAATGAAAATTGAAATTATACAAAGGAAAAAAGCAAATGGATGAGGATTAAGTAATCTAGGCAATGTGTAGTTAGGCTCAGATTGGAAGGAAAGAGTATGAAGTAAATGAATGAATCGAGGTATTTGGGAGAGGATGTGTTGATAGGTGGGTCTGTGAAAGACTAGGTGAGTCACAGATGAGGGAAAACAAAGCGGCTTAAGTGTTGGTTGTGGAAAGAAAGAAGTTTTTTAATGACTCAGGAAATGGGCAGAAGTCATCATACACTGTGCAGCCTAATAAGTCAATGATAATGGCTTTAACCCTTTCAGGGTCAAGTCCCCTGATCCTGAACTCGCTCTCAGGGTCGAAATATTTAAAAAAAAAAAATTATTATGAAATGATACAAAAAGTACGAAATTTGATGGGGTCCAGAATAAATAAGACATGTTCCTGGTACTAAAATAACATTTTCTCTGTTCATTAGTCACGTCTCCAGGCCCCTCTTATATTACTCTTGCTTTCTATTTTGAATATTTACTCTCGCAAAAATAGAAGATTTACTGTTATGCAGACTACTGCAGTATTGTAAAAATGGTATAAGTAATATCAGCTCACTTGTGAAAGAATATTAGACTTGCCAGTTGACATGTATTGAATGCATGGCGTGATTTGTTTACTATTGAACATAGGCAAAAATCGAACATTTCTGCTACTTTGAGCTAAATTTCAAGGTACGTGTACTTTTCATCATGAAACCAATCAAAATCTTCTCTATTTCTGTAATATATCTTCCATTCTATCAAATGAAACCAAGAAAACGAGAATACAACCATAAATACCCTACGAAAATACACTGCAAAGTTGCTGTTTTATACCAAAAACATGGTTGGATTTTTTTTCTTATTATGCACTGCGTGCTGTAGGATTTTTTTTTTATACTACACACACTGACCATGCAGACCCATTCTGTCATATGTAGGCCTACCAGCTTTCATCTGCTCGATTTGAAGGCGCTAGAATTTTGGTGTACAAGTACGGCACCAACCGTGGCTCTCAAGCCGTACATGTACAGCACCGACCCTGAAAGGGTTAAATGTACTGGAGTTGCCACGTTGGTGTGAAACTCATCCATAAATACTGTACCTGTATTTGTGGTCATAATGGGGTCCATGCTAACCTCCTTAGAACGTATATAGAAGTACGTATGCCTAGTTGGATAACTTAGTTTGCCAGTATGGTGTAGCAGTAATAGCACAGGCTTCATAATTTTGGAAATTCCTTATCATGGGTTGAGTATTGCCTATTCACATTAGTCCCTTGAGTTACAGTGGGCTAGAGTTATGATAATTTTTAGTTACAATTTAGCCTCATAAGGGAACTAGGTTTTGAATTCCTAAGAAAAATTTAAGATATGATGTACGTAGCATGGTACGACTGTTGTGAGTGACATCCTGGGGAACAAGACTGACCTAAGTTGCCCAAATGCTCTGCATAACCAGATTCTTCTATGTACAGTAGTGTGCCAGGGGTGTCACCTAGGTCTGTAATACAGCCTCTCCCCACTTAGCGATGTACTCGTTTACAAATGACTCAGACTTAGTGGGCTCTCTGACCAGTATGCATACCTAAATAATGTATATTAGAGCTGATTTCCTCTATTCTGTTTAATACATTACAGCCTCCTCACTTAACGTTGGAGTTACATTCCTAAGACCACGTCGGTAAACGAATTCGTTGCTAAGTGAGGAGCATACTATAATGGTACTAGGTATGTGTCAGCCATCTTTGATATTATATTAATGTCACCTTTGCACCACATATTACATTTCTGGTATATTTTTAAATGTTTATACAGTAGTGTACTGTATATTGTAATAAACAGAATAGAGGAAATCAGCTCTAATATACATTATTTAGGTGTGCGTACTGGTCAGAGAGCCCATCGTAAGTCCAAGTTGTCGGTAAACGAGTACATCGCTAAGTGAGGAGAGGCTGTATACAGTACACTACTGTATAAACATTCAAAAATATACCAGAAATGTTACAAATGGCACAAAGGTGACATTAAAACAATATCAAAGATGGTTGACACAAACCCACTACTATTATAGTATGCTCCTCCGTAGCGAAGAATTCGTGTACTGACGTGGTCTTAGGAAAGGAACTCCATTGTTAAGTGAGAGGCTGTAGTTGTTTCACGTACCTGTAGAAATTCTGAAGAGAATTTGCAAGGTTGGTGACAATTTAGAAGGATATGTAAAAGTGAACACAAAAAAAGTGACAATAATAAAATTAGAAAGGTTAGGCAGTGAAAAACTGGAATTAGATTGGAGGGAGATAGTATGAAGGAAGAGAATATATTCAGATATTTGGTAGTAGACATATTGACACATGGGTCTTTGAAAGAAAGTGAACCTTACAATAGATGAAGAATTCGAGACTGGGTTTAAAGGTTTTAATTGATCGGAGCTTGAACATCCAGCAGGTATGTGCAAACATGTTAGATTGGAAGGAGTAGAGTCAAGGTTTTACAAATTTGAGGTACTGTTGGAGTGTGAGCACTGTATCATTTATGAAAGGATTCAGGAAAACTGGCTAGCCAAGCTCAAGTCCTGGAGATGGTAAGTACAGTGCTTGGCACTCTGATAGCTTGGAGGGTTGTTTGAATTGTGATATCTGCTCACTCTTGGTAAGCCAGCTGTGGAATGAATGCTGGTGAAATATTGGCCACTAATATATGATCTGAATTCACTGAGATTCCATGATACAGCATAGTAGTACTATTGAGTTTAACACACTGGCTGTATCCCACCGAAGCAGTGTGGCCTAGAAATGAAGAATGTAAGGTTTTCTTCTTTTTACATTCAGTAATTTATACAAATGCTCCCGGCACTTTAGTTGCCTCCATAAGAGGTGACTAAAATACAGAGGAAGGATTCTTCTCCACTTGCCCATGGAGATAGATACTGTTGAGTTATATTTACAAGTTTTAATTCCAGTTACATAATAGTTTTTGAATAATAAAATCAAAATAGTATAATATTTTTCCTGTTATACATATTTGTCAAAGTGGTCTTTTTTGTATCCAGTGTACTGTATTTCTTTTACCATATGGGCCATTATCCTGCCAAGTAAGGTGAGCTAAAGAAAATATGTTCACTGACAAGTTAGCCACTGTATATACAGTAATCACGACACTAACACACAACTTAGGCAGTACACTCATCTTAATTATAGTGTATCTGCATCTAAATATTTGCAATATGAATATGGTGACTTTCATTTTTTGGAGAAGAGGAGTAATCAGAATGAACACCTCTTAAGTATGGTATTTTATACCCTAGGTAAACCTATGTGAAATGTTTTTTGTTGTGCATTATGGGGGTAATTTAGTAAGTGCACAGTTAAACAAAAGTTGTGAGCTTTAAAATTTAACAAAATGAGAGATTGGTAGATTATTCCCACAGGACTGTAACTCTCACTAGTAAAGTTCCTCTTAGCTTGAGAGCTTATATTACACTGGAAGTGTAGTACTTGGTGCTCTGCTCTCACAATTTTGGAGGTAGCAAGACAATGTTTTCCCAGGTAAATGCTAATCTATCTTTTATATCAGGAGTTCTTAACCTTCAGAGTGGCATTTTTGCTCAGGGTCATGAAACCATCAAGTTTTCTTCACTGGTGACTGAAATGTTTATGATAATGTTCATTTGTACACTATATGACTACAGTCTCAGCTTTTATTAATGCTTTCTTAAATTGTGTTATGTTTCTTTACATTCAGTAACTACCGTTGAGTTAGCTATTTTGTTTTATTAAATGCCTGATAATAAATCGGGCGTTTATAAGTGAGGGGTAACTATAACTTTGGAGAAGCTGAAAGGGGTCAGTATATATGAAATAGTTGGGAATCTCTACTCTGATATAAAGTATATTTTAATGCAAATGGTCATATATATCTTGGTTTAAATTGGAAAATGAACATTAAATGTTGAAATTTATCATATGACATTGATCTAAACAGAATCATGGATGGGAGGGCTGCTTCTAAGTACATTAAGTATTAGTACAGAAAAAATCACCAGTGTTTGCATTACTATCAGTGTTGCTCCTTTCAGCTCACTCCAAGTCCAGTAACACCAGAGGCAGAAGGACTCCGCCGGAGGGTCAGTATGTTTTGCCTTCTTTATAGCTCCAGCTCATGAGTGGAAGGAATTTGTAGGGGAAGGGGGAAGAACTTTGCCTGTTCTATGTAAAAGGTGTTTCTGTATTCCAAAACTGAATGGTATTATATGGTAATTTTGCATTTCAAACTATGCAGGTTATCTTAAAGCAATTTAAAGTATACCACCAATGTCTGCTTCTCCATTTTACACTATAATATCAGTATTCATAATTATGACAATTCATACCTTGGCCAGGTGGCACGATAAATCTGCAGCTGGTAAATACCAGGAACATGTAGTTTCACTGGGCTTTGCCACTACAAAAGCAATAAACACTGTATTTCAAGTGATTCAACCTATTACTAAAGTCATTTATGTCATATGATAGTTATTTCATAGCATCCTTGGTTCTATGCCAAACAGGTGTGTATTAAGTTATGCATAACAAATCCTTTAGGTATATAAGAGAGACTTCCGGAGATCATACACAAGGAAAGGATTGATGAGCTGCATATTCCTAGACTGTTAGTCTTTATTTCTTTCACTGTTCAGACCCCCAAAATTAACATTACTACTTCTAGTGTCCATTTTTTTTAGAAAAAATTAAATAAATTATTATTTCCTCTGAAATGGTAGAGAAACTTTTTCTGAAGGTAATGATACCAAAAGTACAAAATTTGGTGGCAAACTTAAAAATTATGCAGGTGGTGCAAAATTAGTGGTCTGGGTGCAATTTATGCAGTGGCAATTTTGCCCACTTTGAGTCCTATTTTAAGCCAATTCCATTGCTTCCTTTGACTAAATTCATAATAATGAGTGTACTGTATATTCATTTCACTTTTGTATTATTTTTTTAGGCTTAGCTCCATTGTGCACTTAACCTTTCATTGTCTAGACCCCCTGATTTGAGATTTGCTGTGTCCAAGAATCCCCCCCCCCCACTCACACAGAAAAAAGATCTTATGAAATGATAGAGAATCTTTTTCTGAAGGTAATGAAACCAAAAGTACTAAATTTAATGGAAAATTTATAAAATCCTTTTGCGAATTTTGCTGTCAGTGATATTTATGCCTCGGCTATTTTTGCCTACTTTTGAGTCCTATTTTAGGCCAATTATATTGCTGTAGCCAACCAAATTCTTAGCTGTTCCACTAGTATGTCTTTCATTTTACTGATTAAGCACAAGAAACTGCCAGTCGACTATTTCAACTACCCAATAAAGTGATCAGAATTTAGTAATCTGGCCAATTTCACACAAATTTCAAAATATTCTAACTTCAAAATAGGGTCCAGAATAAACAATGCAGGCATTCCTGGCACTAAAGCAACATTTCCTGTGTTTATTAGCAATGTTTCCAGGCTTTACACATGAATTCCACTTCGAATTTTTATTAACAGAAAAAATAGAATTACTCTTAATGCAGTATTGTTATAATTGTATAAATAATATCAGAACGTTTGTGAATGCATATTAGATCCACCAGTTGGATGTGTATTAGATAGGTGATGTGATTTGTTTACTTTTGAATATCGGCAAAAATCAAACATTTCCTCTACTTTGAGCTCAATTTCGACCTATTTTTAGTCCTTAAACCAATCAAAATCATCTCTATTTCTGTAATATATCTTTCATTATATCAAATGAGACAAAGAAACCGAGAATACAATTTTTTTTTTCTCAACAAGTCGGCCGTCTCCCACTGAGGCAGGGTGAACCAAAGAGAAAGAAAATCCGCAAAAAGAAAATACTTTCATCATCATTCAACACTTTCACCTCACTCACACGTAATCACTGTTTTTGCAGAGGTGCCCAGAATACAACAGTTTAGAAGTACGTGTATATGCGTATAAAAATACACAAATATCTCTCCAAACTGCCAATATCCCAAACCCCTCCTTTAGAGTGCAGGCATTGTACTTCCCATTCCAGGACTCAAGTCCGGTTATATAAAATAACCGTTTTCCCTGAATCCCTTCACTAAATGTTACCCTGCTCACACTCCAACAGATCGTCAGGTCCCAAATACCATTTGTCTCCATTCACTCCTATCTAACACGCTCACGCACGCTTGCTGGAAGTCTAAACCTCTCGCCCACAACACCTCCTCTACCCCCTCCCTCCAACCTTTTCGAGGACGACCTCTACCCCGCTTCCTTCCCCTACAGATTTATACGCTCTCCATGTCATTCTACTTTGATCCATTCTCTCTAAATGACCAAACCACCACCTCAAACCCTCTTCAGCCCTCTGACTAATACTTTTATTAACTCCACTTTATAGAAATACACCATAAAGCTGCTATTTTAATCAGAAAACATGGTCACAGTTTTTCTCATTATGCATTGCATGCTGCAGGATTTTTTTATATGGAGCACATTTACTGCATAGGCCCAGTTTCTCATATCTAGGCCAAGATTTACTGCTCACAGTTTATCTGAGTTCATAGTGTAGTACTATGGCATGGACAGTGACCTAAAACCCGTAGTACTACAGGACAATGAAAGGGGTTAACATATGATAGTGTAAACACATTTTTAGATTTTTATAGGCATTTGAAAGTGAAAAAAGGCTGTTATACTTTTCTGCAGGAGTCTGGAACCTAATTCACCATGTAAGTGGGGCTTTCCAATACTCAATAATCTATCTTTTTCCCAGCTATTGTTAATAGCTTACCCCAACTGCCTCCTTTAATTTATAAATTTTCATTTCTCTCTTACTAGTGCCATTCTTCTTGTACCCCATCTACCTCTTATTCTCATTGCAGCTACAACTACAGGAGGGCCTTGCTTATACAGCTGGGCTACTGCTATATATGCAAAAATTGCTGTGAAGTGAAATATGTATAGCCTTTTTCATTTTCATATACACTGTACATATAAAACCCTGATAGCATGTTTACACTGTCAAATATTAGGTGAGCAATAGAGCTAGGCCTAAAAAATGCATATACAATACACACATTACTTACCCGAAACTATTTTAGTACTTAGCTTATAGTGAGTGGTGAATATATTTACTATAGGAAGCCTGAATTAATAAAGCATGGGTATAATTGAAAACCGCTACGTTAGCAAAATGCCATAAAGTGAACGGAAGAGGGATTCTTTTCCACTTTATCATGGAGATGAAAGGAAATAATACAAGAGTAGGAGGTATTAAGAAAATAGAAGAAAACTCAGTGGATGTATATACACATACAGGCACGTGCCTATGTAGTATGAACTTCCAGATTTTATGTTGAACGTGACATTCTGGTGTCGAGGACACCCTCCAATTCTGACTGGCTAAATTTTGGAAAAAAAGATAAGCGGTATTCATTGTAATAATGTTAAGCCTGAGGCATTACAAGTAAAAACACATACCTTGATGGTTTATTCTACGGTTGTTTACCACTGACACAGCTGACCTGCAGGGTTGCCAAATAAAATTTTTCAAATAGCTCTGGACTCTTGCCTAAAACGAGCTAAAAACACACTAAATTTATGTGAAACAGTGCTAAAAAATTCACTAACAATATTAGTTACAAAAATAACACTCGCCAGTATACAGGCAATTATTCTAGATCTGCTAAATCCCAACCAGCCATCTCTTCCTCAGCGTGTTCAACTGTTTCTTGTTGGGACTGGCCTTGTTCTCTTTCTACTCACTGTCTCGATGCATGCAAGTAGATGTATCTACGGCTAGGACTGCGAATTAATTTGTGATTTTTTTTCATGCATTTTAAAAGTTCAGTATTTCATGTTATGTTTTTAAGTTTGTTGATTTTACTATTTAATAAGGGTACATTTGTACTGCAACATGACTGAAATAAACCTACGGTGTGCAAATGGTTTTTTTTTTTGTGTACTACTACTGTATACCAGTATCTATTATTATTTGAACCCCTTTTAACACACCACAATTTTACTATTGCATTTTATATCTGATAATGTTCCCTGAATATCAGGATCATTTGAGGTGAGTAAAAATATTATTACTGGGTGGTTTGATGATAAACAGGCAATTTAGCCTACTGATACTACTTGTAGTTTATCTGACTCCATCACCTGGTTTTCCTTAGTTTACTACTGCTAAGTGCCAATTAACTTTTATGATTATTTGTGATTATTTTTATTCATTATTTTATACAAAATAGTTTTCATGATTCATTATTTGGTCATATACAGGAGCTTAGATTACTGTCTAGTATCAAAACATTTCTCAAGTCTTAGTTTGAGGCCTATGAGCAATGTAACCATTGGCCTCCAAGATGCTGTTTAAATTTTTTGGGGGAAAAAATATCATTTTTGACGCTGTAAAATATGGTATGTAAGTAGAAGTAGCAAGATATATCTAACTTTCATGTTTATGAGACAGAAAGACAACCATAAAATTACTACAGTATACAGTACAGTACTGTACTGTAGTACTACTAGTTATAATATTCATATTCTTAGTGTGTGTTTATCTTCTATACCAGTGGAACAAGTCTACTGCTTCAGAAGACTGTTGGGTAATCATATTTTGTACGTTGTGGACAGTTATCATCATCATACACTCCCCCTCCATATTAGTCTGTTAATGGTAGTTTTCACTGTATACATTGTATATAAATTTTCTCTCTAACAATCTGCTGAACAAACAGCTATGAGGTGGGATGCCATTGAAACACCTACAGCAGTACAGTCACCAGGAATCTTCTGAAGGAAGTTAACATCGAGGCCGGAAGTCTGGCCTCGGTACTTCTCTACGTGATGATTAAAACAGAGTGCAGTAGCAGTCAGCCTTATCAGGCTGCTGCTGCTGCTTTGAAGTACAGTAGGACCCCCGTATCCATGGAGGATGCGTTCCAAGGACCTGCTGCAGATATTGAAACTGCAGATACTAGGTCTAGTGAACCCTATATATGTCATTTTTCATTTACCTGTATACATACATACATACCTATTTTTTTTTTTTTTTTTTTTTTTTTTTTTTTCTTTCAACAAGTCGGTCGTCTCCCACCGAGGCAGGGTGACCCAAAAAAGAAAGAAAATCCCCAAAAAGAAAACACTTTCATCACCATTCAACACCTTCACCACACTCACACACTATCACTGCTTTTGCAGAGGTGCCCAGAATACAACAGTTTAGAAGCATATACGTATAAAGATACACAACATATCCCTCCAAACTGCCAATATCCCAAACCACTCCTTTAAAGTGCAGGCATTGTACTTCCCATTTCCAGGACTCAAGTCCGACTATATGAAAATAACCGGTTTCCCTGAATCCCTTCACTAAATATTACCCTGCTCACACTCCAACAGATCGTCAGGTCCCAAGTATCATTCGTCTCCATTCACTCATTTTTTTTTTTTTTTTTTTTTTTCAACAAGTCGGCCGTCTCCCACCGAGGCAGGGTGACCCAAAAAAGAAAGAAAATCCCCAAAAAGAAAATACTTTCATCATCATTCAACACTTTCACCACACTCGCACACTATCACTGTTTTTGCAGAGGTGCTCAGAATACAACAGTCTAGAAGCATAAACATATAAAGATACACAACATATTCCCTCCAAATGCCAATATCCCAACCCTCCTTTAAAGTGCAGGCATTGTACTTCCCATTTCCAGGACTCAAGTCCGACTATATGAAAATAACCGGTTTCCCTGAATCCCTTCACTAAATATTACCCTGCTCACACTCCAACAGATCGTCAGGTCCAAGTACCATTCGTCTCCATTCACTCCTATCTAACACGCTCACGCACGCTTGCTGGAAGTCAAGCCCCTTACCCACAAAACCTCCTTTACCCCCTCTCTCCAACCCTTTCGAGGACGACCCCTACCCCGCCTTCCTTCCCCTATAGATTTATATGCTTTCCATGTCATTCTACTGTGATCCATTCTCTCTAAATGACCAAACCACCTCAACAACCCTCTTCTGCCCTCTGACTAATACTTTTATTAACTCCACACCTTCTCCTAATTTCCACACTCCGAATTTTCTGCATAATATTTACACCACACATTGCCCTTAAACAGGACATCTCCGCTGCCTCCAAACCGTCTCCTCGCTGCTGCATTTACCACCCAAGCTTCACACCATTATAAGAGTGTTGGTACTACTATACTTTCATTACATTCCCTTCTTTGCCTCCATAGATAACGTTTTTTTTTGACCCCACATTTTACCTCAACGCACCACTCACCTTTTTTCCCTCATCAATTCTATGATTAACCTCATCCTTCATAAATCCATCCGCGACACGTCAACCCCCAAGTATCTGAAAACATTCACTTCTTCCATACTCCTCCTCCCCAATTTGATATCCAATTTTTCTTTATCTAAATCATTTGACACCCTCATCACCTTACTCTTTTCTATGTTCACTTTCAACTTTCTACCTTACACACATTCCCAAACTCATCCACTAACCTTTGCAATTTTTCTTTAGAATCTCCCCTAAGCACAGTATCATCAGCAAAAAGTAACTGTGTCAATTCCATTTTGAATTTGATTCCCCATAATTTAATCCCCCCCTCTCCCAAACACCCTAGCATTTACTTCCTTTACAACCCCATCTATAAATATATTAAACAACCTGGTGACATTACACATCCTGTCTAAGACCTACTTTTACCGGGAAGTAGTCTCCCTCTCTTCTACACACCCTAACCTGAGCCTCACTATCCTCATAAAAACTCTTTACAGCATTTAATAACTTACCACCTATTCCATATACTTGCAACATCTGCCACATTGCTCCTCTATCCACTCTATCTATGCCTTTTCTAAATCCATAAATGCAATAAAAACTTCCCTATCTTTATCTAAATACTGTTCACATATATGCTTCAATGTAAACACCTGATCTACACATCCCCTCCCCACTCTAAAACCTCCTTGCTCATCCGCAATCTACCATTCTGTCTTACCTCTAATTTCTTTCAATTATAACCCTACCGTACACTTTTCCTGGTATATCAGTAAGCTTATTCCTCTATAATTTTTACAGTCTCTTTTGTCCCTTTCCCTTTATATAAAGGGACTATACATGCTCTCTGCCAATCCCTAGGTACCTTCCCCTCTTTCATACATTTATTAAACAAAAGTACCAACCCCTCCAACACTATATCCCCCCCTGCTTTTAACTTTTCTGTCATGATCCCATCAGTTCCAGCTGCTTTACCCCCTTTCATTTTACGTAATGCCTCACGTACCTCCCCACACTTACATTCTGCTCTTCTTCACTCCTAAAAGATGGTATACCTCCCTGACCCGTGCATGAAATTACTGCCTCTGTTTCTTCCTTAACATTTAAAAGTTCCTCAAAATATTCTCGCCATCTACCCAATACCTCCATCTCCCCATCTACTAACTCCCTACTCTGTTTTTAACTGACAAATCCATATTTTCCCTAGGCTTTCTTAACTTGTTTAACTCACTCCAAAATTTTTTCTTATTTTCATTAAAATTTCTTGACAGTGCCTCTCCACTCTATCATCTGCTTCCCCCTTTTGCACTCTCTCACCACTCTCTTTACCTTTCTTTTACTCACCATATACTCTGCTCTTCTTATAACACTTCTGCTTTGTAAAAAACCTCTCATAAGCTACCTTTTTCTCTTTTATCACACCTTTACTTCATCATTCCACCAATCACTCTCTTTCTCCTGCCCCCACCCTCCTATAACCACAAACTTCTGCCCCACATTCTAATACTGCATTTTTAAAACTATTCCAACCCTCTTCAACCCCCCCACTACTCATCTTTGCACTAGCCCACCTTTCTGCCAATAGTCGCTTATATCTCACCCGAACTTCCTCCTCCCTTAGTTTATACACTTTCACCTCCCTCTTACTTGTTGTTGCCACCTTCCTCTTTTCCCATCTACCTCTTACTCTAACTGTAGCTACAACTAAATAAATGATCCGATATATCAGTTGCCCCTCTATAAACATGTACATCCTGGAGCCTACCCATCAACCTTTTATCCACCAATACATAATCTAATAAAACTACTTTCATTACGTGCTACATCATACCTTGTATATTTATTTATCCTCTTTTTCATAAAATATGTATTACTTATTACCAAATTTCTTTCTACACATAGCTCAATTAAAGGCTCCCCATTTACATTTACCCCTGGCACCCCAAATTTACCTACTACTCCCTCCATAACATTTTTACCCACTTTAGCATTAAAATCCCCAACCACCATTACTCTCACACTTGATTCAAAACTCCCCACGCATTCACTCAACATTTCCCAAAATCTCTCTCTCTCCTCTACACTTCTCTCTTCTCCAGGTGCATACCTATTATAAAGTTTAATTGATAAATTGCACACAGTAAATGGAGAATTATCACTTTTTCAATGATGCAAAGCACTTTACAGCTTCTCTTAGGCTTTGAAGAACTTCTGCCATCACTAATTTTGCACTTTGAGGCCATTATTAAGCAAAATTAAGGGTTATTTTTGGGCCATGGTAAACTGCAGATAACTGAAACCACAGATACCGAATCTGTGGATACGGGGGTCCTACTGTATTTTAGTTGGCCAGGGAGCTGAAGATACTTTCTTGGTTACACAAACTCCTCTTTGGTTAGACAAATTTCACTCCAAGGATATCAACTTTGTCCCCAGGTACCATTCATTCTTACCACTGCTATAGCATTACCATCATGGTGGTTAGCGACCATCATCATTTGTGTTTTCGCAGGAGCACCTGTGACCTGCCATTTTCCTCAGGCTGATGTATCTGTAAACTGGTGATTGATGTAACTTAGAGCAGCTGGCATTTTCTCTCATGGATAAGTAAATGTCAGATTACAGTCATCTGCATATACATAGTATTCTGGGATGAGTTGAAGAAGGTCATTGAGGTAGACATTCCATAACAATAGTTCAAGCACACTTTCCTGTGGAACACTTGTACCAATAGTGCCTTGTTGACTCTGTCCTGCTGAGATCTATGCTTAGAAATCTACACGCACACACATACGTACGTATGTTTGTGTTTTTCCATGTGAGAATGACACGCATGAGAAACACAGGAAGAATAATTGTCTGTATATTTCAGCCACTTCCACAAATCTGCTGAGGAGGATCTCAGTTGGAGATTTAAATATACTCAAAACTAAGGAAGACATTGCAGAGCCAAAAATTTTATAAAAAGACACTGTGGCTGCATGGAAATCTTTATCGAGATGTTTAGTTAGACAATCAAAGCTCTTGTAAGTGTGAAGAAACCACTGACTGGTGAAATGTTTCCAGAATAGAGAGTCCCAAGCATTGCACAAGTGTCTTATTTATCATCTTCTCAGTTTTCTAAACCATTTATTAAAAGTACATAGCAAGTACTGGGAGAGTAAGTGCCTCCCAGCACACACTGCCCTTCCTCCTAGCCTGCTTTCCTGACTATAGTGACTTTTGCTTACTCTGTGTAGATCTGAAAAAGCTTGGTCTTCAAACCAAATGATTTGTTAATAAAGGTTTCCACATTGCCACGGTGTCTATTATACGGAAAACTATTTTTTTTTTTTTTTTTTGTTTTTTGTGTGTAAATTATTTCCTCTCATTGAAGTGATCATTATACTTTTATGCACCAACATTTACTTTTGATCTTACTCTACTGAGAAATGTTTAGGTAAAGATAAGGATGAAGTGATTATATCATTCATCATAGTAATTTTTGCTAAACCTACCATATTTGTGTTACCATGAAGTTAATGCTACAAGTATTGTTTGTAACATGTTATTCAACATGGGTATCTTGCGTTTGCAGTTTTACTTTTATAATTGTCATGGACTTGAAAGTTTTATGTCCTGTTTCCAATTGCACAGCCTGTGCGTTCTGGCATCAGTGGAGACTTCATGGGGTTCAGTGATAATGAATCTGAATCTGACTCTGACGTTGAGGTGGGGGACAAGAGAAAGGATTCAGCTGCCTCAGATGTAAGTATAACTTGTTTATGGTTAATACAAGGACACTTAGTGCAAGGAACTTTATCATGTCATGGCTTGTAGGTATAATATGACGCACGAAATCATAATGACACGATTGCAAACAAACCATACCACGGGTGGGGTTTGAACCTGCGGGTTCAAACCCTACCCGTGGTATGGTTTGTAGGTATAATAGTATGTAAGTACATACCATTAATTAAATTGCATTAAGATGAGACAGTTTAAAGTAGCGTGGAAACTTGACATGCAAACATTTCTGGTAAGTGAAACATTGTCGTCATATATAAAGTTTGCCTGTTGCATCAGTGTCTTGTTTTAGTGTTAGTCATGAGTTGATAATACAAAGTCTTGCCCTGTTCCAAGTCTTAACAGCTAACAGTAGTTTAGTAATACTTGTATATTAGTAAAACAATATTCATGGGAAATACAAAATGCTTTCACTATAATGTGCTACAGCGTTTATATCAGTCACAGCAGTATTGAATAATTTTGATGGTGTCAGTGCTTGCCTAAAATTGAATATTGGTATTGGCAAAAAATTTAGTTATTGTCCCATCCCTAATTATAACTACAGCCTCTCCTCACTTAGTGACATACTCGTTTACCGACGGGCTCTCTGACCAGTATTTATACCTAAATAATGTGTATTAGAACTAATTTCCTTTATTCTGTTTATTTCAGTATACAGTACACTACTGTATAAACATTTAAAAATATACCAGAAATGTTATAAATCGATGCAAAGGTAACATGAAAACAATATCAAAGATGGTTGACACAAACTCGCTACCATCATAGTATGCTCTCACTTAGCGACGAATTTGTTTAACGACGTGGTCTTAGGAACGGAACTCTGTCATTAAGTGAGGAGAGGCTGTATTATTTTTCTGTGCCTTGTAAGTTCATTCTGGTATTTTTTTTTTGTCTACACATTTCAAGTTTAGCACAGGATGGAAGAACCATTTTATTGCTTTCCAAACACCTTATTTAAGTGTATTAGTCTAACCTGCTCCAGTTCTCATATTCAGGTTGCTTTATTTAAGCATTTTGATCTAACATGTCTTATTTCCATACTCAGGACAACTTGACTAAATGTTTTGATCTGGCCTCTTGCTCATTCTCATAGTTCAGACACCTTATCTTGGTACATATACTGTTCTCATGATGAAAAGACACATTTCATTTATTATTGACAGAAACCGCTGCTCAACTACTACAGTAACATACTTTTTGAGGACCAACTACTGGAAGGTCTGAGTAACTGGTTGGACAGACTATTTGAAGGCTCGACTCTCCGCTACCACATCAACTACTGGCCAGACTGGCCGGGCAAATAATGAATAGTGTCGATTGACTCTTTAAATTTTATTATAAAATTCCTCACCCCGTTAATACCTTAATTGAAAAGAAATATATGATCCTCATCATACCTGTTGCTGTTCAGTTTTTAGCTCTTTACCATTTGCATGTATTAGGAAATTTGAACTCAGTCACCAAAGATACAAACATATTAGCTTATTTATTTTAACAGTTCATTTACAATATATATTGGCATGTGTAGATTTAGTCAGTTTTAATTCACCTCATTCTAATGTACAAGTCACAAAGTATGTACTCTATTTTCTTGTACAGGTATATCATGTATACTGCACTGATACTGCATCTCTTTAATAATACTTATAAATTAGGATGTGTATGTATGAATTTATAATGTACTCACTTATTTGTGGTTGCAGGAGTTGAGTCACAGCTCCTGGCCTTGTGTGTGTACTTGCATGCATGTGTACGTGCATTCATACATGCAAACACATACATAAATGCATGTAAATGCTAATGAATCCTGACTTCTTATAAGTAATTCAGAATAATTAATAGTAAAGTAGTGTAGTTACTGATTAAAAATGAGACTTTTATAACAATCAGCTCTTCTAGCATAGACATCTCATAATGTTTATATATTTATATAAGTACAAGTGGGGGAGTTTACACTGTCTGAGATAAACTTTCTTTAATCCTTAAACTGCCAATGGGAGTAAAATGAAATTGTATTGTAATGGCCTGAGTTTACATGTGTTTTAAAAAAAAATAAAATTGGGTCAGTACTTGCCAAGAAATAATTGTTTGAAGTTTCTGGAAGTGAGCCTTGTATAGTAACATGGTTGCATCCTGCATACTTCCAGTTGAATACTGTAAAGTGTTTTTTGGGCCATTTTTTTGTTTCTTTTATAAACACACACATGCGATTAGTATGTATATTTTCAGACCATATTTACAGGATCACTTGTTTTACATGATGGTAGGATTGCTGGTGTCTTTTTTCTGTCTCATAAACATGCAAGATTTCAGGTACATCTTGCTACTCCTACTTAAACTTAGGTCACACTACACGTACATGTACAAGCATATATATACATACCCCTCTGGGTTTTCTTCTGTTTTCTTTCTAGTTCTTGTTGTTGTTTATTTCCTCTTATCTCCATGGGGAAGTGGAACAGAATCCTTCCTCTGTAAGCCGTGCGTGTCGTAAGAGGCGACTAAAGTGCCAGGAGCAAGGGCTAGTAACCCCTTCTCCTGTATTACTAAATTTATTTATTTATTTATTTATTTTAGAAATTTAGCATACATACAGAGGTACAAAAAAATACAGGTAAGAGCAGCATGCCAAAGCCACTTATATGCATAGCATTACGGGCTGGCTTACAATTAACTTAAGATTAACTAAACAATGATGAAATCAGTGATAAGACATTATTGTAAACAGATAACTATAAAATACAAATGAGTATTACAAAGACAGGTCATATGGTTGCATGCATTGCTGTTCATTCAGTAGAATAGGTAGTGTATTTAAAAAAAATAACAAAGTTAGGTTTAACATTTGTGTGATATAATTGTGAGTAACATTTAGGATATACAATTTATATGGTTCAGTTATTCAGTATTTATTTGGTTTTGAGTAAGTGAACTTTGAGAAGAGACTTGAATTTATAAACAGGTAGTGTTTCTTTTATATTTACAGGTAATGAATTCCAGATTTTAGGGCCTTTTATGTGCATTGAGTTTTTGCATAGCGTTGAGATGGACACGAGGAACATCAAAGAGTGATCTGTGCCTTGTATTATGGTCATGTGTTCTGTTGAGGTTGGCAAGGAGATGTTTGAGGGGAGGGTTAATATCAGAGTTAAGTGTTCTATGTATGTAATAAGTGCAATAATAAGTATGGATGTTTTGTATGGTGAGTAGGTTGAGTGTTTTGAATATTGGTGGAGTGTGCTGCCTGTATTGAGAATTTGTTATCATTCTAACTGCAGCCTTTTGTTGGGTAATTAGTGGTCTGAGATGGTTAGTTGTTGTTGAGCCCCATGCACAAATTCCATAGGTAAGATAGGGGTAAATAAGAGAGTGATAGAGGGCCAGGAGGGCTGACTGTGGAACATAGTACCGTATCTTCGATAGTATGCCTACAGTCTTGGAAATTTTCTTAGAAATTTGTTGTATATGTGTATGAAATTTGAGTCTATTATCGAGGTGGATTCCTAAGAATTTTCCCTCTGTTAGCTTTGTGATAGGTGATCCGTTTATCGTTATGTTAAGAGGTACATCTGTAGCTCTGCTACCAAACTTTCGTTTTTCTTTTTGGGCCACCCCACCTCGGTGGGATACAGCTGGTATGTTGAAAGAAAAAGAAAGAATTTACAGGATCCTAGGTAGTAGGTTGGTTATCAGCAACCATCCAGGGAGGTACTACTATCCTGCCAAGTGAGTGTAAAACGAAAGCCTGTAATTGTTTTACATGATGGTAGGATTGCTGGTGTCTCTTTTTCTGTCTCATAAACATGCAAGATTTCAGGTATTTATTGCTGCTTCTGCTTGCATTGAGGTCACACTACACATGCATGTACAAGCATATATAAACACTCCCTTCTGGGTTTTCTTCTATTTTTCTTACTAGTTCTTGTTTATTTACACTTATCTCCATGGGGAAATGGAACAGAATTCCTCTGTAAGCCACGCATGTTTTAAGAGGCAACTAAAATGCCAGGAGCAAGGGGCTAGTAACCCCTTCTCCTGTATATATTATTAAATGTAAAAGGAGAAGTCTGAATGTGCGTGGATGTTGTGCAAATGATAAGAAAGAGATGATTGTGGATGTTATGAATGAGAAGAAACTGGATGTCCTGGCTTTAAGTGAAACAAAGCTGAAGGGGGTGGGAGAGTTTCAATGGAGAGGAATAAATGGGATTAGGTCAGGGGTTTCAAATAGTTAGAGCTAAAGGAGGAGTAGCAATAATGTTGAAGGATAAGCTATGGCAGGAAAAGAGGGACTACAAATGCATAAATTCAAGGATTATGTGGAGTAAAATAAAGATTGGATGTGAAAAGTGGGTTATAGTAAGCGTGTATGCACCTGGAGAAGAGAGAAATGTAGAGGAGAGAGAGAGATTCTGGGAAATGGGTTTAGTGAATGCGTGGGGAGTTTTGAATCAAGTGTGAGAGTAATGGTGGTTGGGGATTTCAATGCTAAAGTGGGTAAAAATGTTATGGAGGGAGTAGTAGGTAAATTTGGGTGCCGGGGGTAAATGAAATGGGGGCCTTTAATTGAGCTAGTGTAGAAAAAAATTTTGGTAAAAAAGTAAACATTTTTTTTATGAAAAAAGGATAAAAAATATAAAGGTATGATTACCACGTAATGAAAGTAGTTTGTTAGATTATTTTGGTGGAAAAAAAGGTTATGGGTAGGCCCCAGGTGACAGTTTTAGAGGGGAAAACTGATATATAAATCATTATTTAGTTGTACTACAGTTGAATAAGAGGTAGATGGGAAAAAGGGGAAAAGGTGGCAACAACAAGTAAGAGGGAGGTGAAAAGTTAAAAACTAAGGGGGGGGAAAGTTTGGGCGAGTTTTAAAGCGACTATTGGCAAAAAGGGTGGGCTAGTGCAAAGAGAGTAGTGGGGGGGTTGAAGATTGGGAAATATTTTTTTAAAAATGCAGTTTAGTTTGGGGGGCAGAAGTTTGTGTTATAGGAGGGTGGGGACAGGGGAAAGGGAGTGATTGGTGGAATGATAAAGTAAAGGGTGTGATAAAAGAGAAAAAGGTAGTTAAAGGGGGGGGTTTTTTACAAAGCAAAAGTGTTATAAAAACGAGTATATGGAGAGTAAAAAAAGGTGAGAGAGGGGTTTGAGAGAGTGCAAAAGGAGGCAGATGAAAGAGTGGGAGAGGCACTTCAAGAAATTTTAATGAAAATAAGAAAAAATTTTGGAGTGGGGGTTAAACAAGCCTAGGGAAAGTATGGATTTGTCCTTAAAAAAACAGAGTAGGGGATTAGTAGAGGGGGAGAGGGGGTTTTAGGTGGGCGAAAATATTTTGAGGAACTTTTAAATGTTGAGGAAGAAAGGGAGGCAGTAATTTCACGCACGGCCAGGGAAAACCATCAGTTATTGCCATTTTTTTTTGACTTGAAAGGATTGCACAACTTGGGGGTATAATTTTTACCCCAAAGCCCACCCTTTAGGTTTGGGGCAATCACCATCCTTCCTTAAGAATTTTTTTAAACTGACGGCATTTCCGTGTTGGGTTAATAATGTGCCCCCCGGACTTTACCCAAGCTGAAGGTGTCCCCCGGGATTGTTTGAGCACAACACTTTTTCTCCTTGCTTTTAAATTTTTTTTGGGCCCCTCTAGTCTTCCACAAATATTTGGTCACATCTATTGATGACTTCGCTATTGCCTGTGCAGGCGGACTGTCCCCTTTTTTACAGTTTCCTCCACATTTTCGACCGTGTTTTCCAATTAGGCCCCCACACGGGGGTTTAAATTTCCCAGCACAAAAAACCCCCCAAATTACTTTCACTAGACGCTCTGTCATCCCCGTCACCCTTTGTACCTCTATGGCTCCCTTTCCCCTAAAGTGAAGTAAAGTTTCTGGGCCCCTCTTTGACCGTAGGTTATCATGGAAACCCACATTACCTCCGGGAGGCAATTGTCACGCTGGCTAAACCTTTCTTAAAACCATTGCTCATTTTTCCCTGGGGAGCGATCGTCGAACCCTTCTTCGCCTACATTCCCCCCTTTCTTATCGAAACTTGATTATGGTGACCAGATCTATTCGCGGCCCCCGTACTCTCTCTAGCCTTTAACCCCCCATTCATCCCCAAGGATTACGTTTATGCCTTGGTGCTTTTCGCTTTTTCCCCTGTCGAGAGCTCTATGCAGAAGCGAACGTTCCATCCTTACCCATCGCCGTGATCCCCCATTGCCTTCGCTACTATGTAGCTTCATGATCCCCGAAACCTTCCATTTATAGAATGGCACTGGTTTTGTAGACTTTCTTTATTTGTTCGCCGCCCCTGTTTACCCCCGTCCCTTTTCTCTTCGCCTTCATTGCTCTTGTCTTTCTTAATTTACCACCTTTTATGTACATTTAGCATCTACTTTCCCTCCCCCCCTGGAATTTCCCAGTGTTGAGTCTGTTCTTTCTCTCCCCCTTGCTCAAAACCCCAACTGTTTAGGTGCTTCCCGCTCTCTTTTTTTTACCACTTTCACTCTCATTTTCATCCTTTTGCTGTTCCCAAAAGGGGGCTCAAAGTTTCTGAGGGCGTGGGATTCGCAGCAGTGTTTCGGACAGCGTCGTACAAGGGCTTTACTTCGGCTAGTTTTTTACTGCTAAATTGATGCCACCCTTACGCATTTATCCGTATTGCTTATCCCCTGTGTCATTTGGGGTTGTTCAGACCCCCCTTAGTGCTTTACGGCTATACAGAAATTTGATCCCACTCACCCCTTAGTCCTCCGTATCCAATTTTGGCTACGCCGCATCTTTACCAAGATAAAAAGTTTTTTTGTTGGGTCCCTGGTCATGTTGACGTACGGGGGCAATGAACAGGCAACACTGCTGGCGGGGCAGCAGTACATGACCTCCGTTTCTGTAGAGGGATTCCTTTAGGAATTTTGCTGAAAAATCTTCCCACCCTTTACCCGTTGGCAAAAAGTTGGTCTAATGCTCGGCAACAAACTTAACCTATTAAAGAGTAAAGGTTACTGGCCGTTTTTATCCCATGTCGGGTTTTGGGGATTACTCTCTCCCCCCTTCGCATTGGCCATACTCGTCTTACTCATGGATATCTCATGGAGAGGCGCCCGTCCTCTTGTGAGAATTGCCAAATTCCATTATCATCGCCACATTCTGTTGGACTGCCCACTTTATCAACGAGCACGCTGAAATTTTCCTCCCTTTCCGTCTTTGCTCCCCTGCTCTCTCTTTACCTTTCCCCTTTCGCTGATGGACCACCCTTTTTATCCCGGGCTCCTCATTTACTTTTTGAAACAAAAGACTTGACTTTCCCAAAATTTTGTACCTTCCCCTTTTACTTCAATCTCTTGCTACCCCTTTCCCCGTACTATCCCCCCCCCCGCCCCCCTGTTTTCTGTAACCTACTGATCATCCCTCTCCCCCTTCTGCCCCTCCAATAAACCCCCGCTTCCTTCCCCCACCTGCAGTGCTGTATAGCCCCTTTTGGCTTAGCGCTTCTTTTTGATTAAATAATAATAATACAAATTTCTTGAGTTCATGAAAACCCTTCAAGC